GGGTGTGCCTCTAAAACCCAAACCTACCAACCAAACAAAAAACCCATGGGGTCGAAAATAATGCTTCTCTGGCTTTCAACTCTTTGGGATTTAGGTGTCCTACACAGATCAGAAGAATGGATCAGCAGAAGGTATGTACCTTTCCTCAGACCCCCAGAAATTTCCCACACATCAATGGGTGCGGCAAAGTTAAAGAGGGTTGGACTAGTTACATCATGAACTAGATACTTTGCACAACTTCTAAAGTTAATTTCCTGTACATCAAACCCAAATACATGGCGGCCGAACAGTAGGTGGAAAGGAGACTGGGAAGCCAATTTCCAATTTGACCTTGGGATTCAGGGACACTCCCAGTGATACTCAATTGGGGTCAACAGTGCTGGGGGCCACCAGGGCTACAATAAGCTACAACTCACTGTGGGACTCCAGAATCTGGGTGTCATTTCATAAAATGAGAGAGCTGATATAAATCAGAGCTTCTCCTGACTTGCTGACTTTAGAATCTCAGATGACTACACAAAGGGCTCTATGGCCTTGTTGGCAGCTTTGAAAAATAGCATCTCTTTCACATACTTGTCCTGTTTTTCAGATGTTGCACTAACAAATAGCAATTCAATTAAAAGCTAAACTGAGTTAGAAGCTGCGTATTCTTTATGTATTTTCTCAGTCAAATAACTGCAAAAGTCCAGCTATTCTCAGGGTAAAAAAATCAGAGTGCCTGAGGCTGGGAAGACAACTCAGAGGCTATGCACATATGACATAGCAAGAACAAGGCCTGGGAGTCAACCCTGGCACTACTTGGATTTCTCCAGTCTCTTGGGCGCACCCACCACCACCATGGGAATAGCTTTGGTGACCCTAGCACCATTGGACCTGAGCATCACTGCCCCACTGGGCCCAGCATCAAAACTACCAATCCAGTTATTGGAGTGTCACAGGATGTGGAGCCTCAAGTACTGATTGAAAGCCCCATCACCCCTTCCCCCAAGTCATAAAACCACTGGCATAGCTACTCTCTGACATTCTATCACCCTAAAGCCCCTCAAGTTCTCCTGTATCCTAAAGGTAAAAGCAAACAGACGATTGAAATGCTTTTCATGATTCTCCATTTGAGAGTGTAGCAGGAAGTACTTTTTCTCAGTGTAGAGGGAAGCCTGTCAAGATCGAACTTAACTACCATTTAAGTCAGAGAAGCCAATAGGTGTGTGTAGGAAGACAGGACCCGGTATTGCGGTGCTGATCTTTGTTTAGTAGTCCGACAGCGTCTCTAGTAGTTGTGGGAACTTTTCTCCCTAGTTGTCCCTTGATGTGAAGACTTGGTGGTTATAGGAGTGAATGTGAGTGTCAAGAGATGTTGAAAATAAAGATGAGTTCATGTGTAACCTTTCTGATCCTACCCAGGATCTGGTAGTAAGCAGTTTGAGGGGAGATGGTCTCTTCCCGAGACTGCTCTTGGGAAAGACCACAAAGTATCTCCACAGTGGTCTCTAAAGAAAAGGGAGTAAAAGTCAGAGCAAGAGTATAGCTTGCCAACCCGTGTTGGCGCGGATGTGGCGAGAAACGGACCCTCCTTCACTGCTGGTGGGAATGCCGACTGGTTCAACTCTTTTGGAAAACAGTATGGACGATTCTCAAAAAATGAGAAATTGAGCTCCCATTTGACCCAGCAATACCACTCCTGGGAATATACCCCGGAGAGGCAAAAAAGTATAGTCGAAGTGACATCTGCGCTTGTTTGTTCATTGCAGCACTGTTTACGATAGCTAGAATATAGAAAAAAACATGAGTGCCAGAGAACAGATGACTGGTTAAAGAAACTTTGGTACATCTACACAATGGAGTACTATGTAGCAGTTAGAAAAAATGAAGTCATGAAATTTACATACAAGTGGTACTACATGGACAACACAACAACTTGTAAGTCTACAACTGTACCTCATGGTGTTTCACTAATAAAAAATAAATAAATTTAAAAAAAAGAGTATAGCTTTCCAGGGCTAGAGAAATAAAACAGTGGGTAGAGCGTTTGCCTTGCATACAGCCAACCCGGGTTCAATTCCCAGCATTCCACATGATCCCCCAAGCACTGCCGCGAGTGATTCCTGAGTGCAGAGCCAGGAGTAACCCCTGAGTATAGCTGGGCGTGACCCAAAAAGAAAAAATAAAGAGTACAGCTTGCCTTGCACGCAACCCATGCGGGTTCAATCCCTAGCAGCACATGTGGTCTCCTGTGCCTACCAGGAGTGATCTCTGAGTGCACAATCAGGAGTAAACCCTGAGTATCACTGGGTATGCCCCAAACCCAAACAGGAGGAAAAAAAAACAAAAAAGAAAAAGAAAAGAATAGAAAAGCAAAGAAAAAAATGAGGATTTACCAGCCACGAGAAACCATGGACTTTCATAAGGGTTAAAGGCTTTGGGGAGCCTTCCAAGCAGTGCTTAGGGGACTCAGGGGTTACTCCCAGTGATACACAATTGTGGTCTACAGTGCTGGGGGCAACCAGGGCTACAACAGGCTTAGAGAACTGTGTAGTGCCAGGGATGGAATTTGAGTCCATATGGGGTGAGGATAGTAGGGAATGTGCTCCAAATCCATACGCTCTCTCCTTGACCCCTGGGTCTTCCCATATTTAAAACTATTGAGAATATGAATGGCTAAAATGTATTGCTCTCTTCACACTGAACCTTTATCACATACTCCCAGACCCCCCTCCAGCACGGCCTTGGTTTTTGGCCACACCCAGTGTTGCTCAGGGCTTACTCCTGGTTCTGAACTCAGAGATCACTCCTGCTGTGCTTGTGGGACCATATGTGGTGCTGGGAGATCAGACTTGGTTGGTCACATGGAAGGCAAGAGCCCTCCCCAGTGTATTGTCTCTTAGACGCCTTCACACTCAAGCTTTATTCTCAGCCTATAGCATTGCATCTATTGCCAAATTCAATTTAAAAAAAAATAGCTTTCATAAGAATAGCACAGGGACCAGAGACAATACAGTGGGCAGGGCATTTACCTTGCATGCAGCCAATGTGGCTTCAAATCCCCAGCACTCAAAATGGTCCCTTGAAGACTGCTAAGAGAGATCACTGAGCTCAGCGCCAGCTAAATCACAGTATTATCTCTCCAGTCCAATAAAACACTTTGACCAAGTTACTATAATTCTTTAATAGGAGAATAACTTTAAAAAGCTCCACTGTGTGTGTGTGTGAGAGAGAGAGAGAGAGAGAGAGAGAGAGAGAGGATAGAGATAGAGATAGACAGACAGACAGACACAGATATATATATATATATATATATATATATATATAGAGAGAGAGAGAGAGAGAGAGAGAGAGAGAGCGCCAGGGTGTATCCTGAGCACTGCTGGATGTCTCCAAAATAATCCCCATCCCCCAAATAAAATTAAAACAGTCCGAACATGTCTTCCTATCAGTGTGGGGAAACACCTTCCTCATTGGAAAAACTGGGCATATTAACAATGCCCTTTAGACTTGAGAGGCTTAAAGGATTTATTCATGTAGAATAAGTAAGTGATTAATATACAGCAATGCCTCATTACATCACTGTGAGGAAGGTGGTGATTTATAAAAAGGTATTTATTCAAATATTGGATAAGGAATAATATCAAAAAGGAAAAGAGGGCTGCCCTAAAACTATAGTCGCTGAGCATATTCTATGTGGCTGTCATTAGGATTGCTCAGAAATATTTCAGTTCTTTTCTCAGACACAGGTCAGGCCTCTAATTTACCAACTGTTTTTAAATTAGACTTGACCAATGCCTTTGGCTTAGACTAATAAAGTGTCCGCTGAAGTAACATGTGTCTTTTTTTTAGATGGGAGCGTGAAGAACCAGTGCCCATTTACCTCGCTCCATTACCACTCCCACAGAGACCATGACATCTGTCAGCCTTATCTTGAGTCACAAGTTGAGCAACACCCACATCTGACATATAGAAGGAGTCAAAAAATAAGATTTTGTCACACAAAGTTGCTATTATGATTTTGGAACTGTTTTTACCACTGCATCCTAATAGAAAAGTTGTACTAATAAGCATGTAATGCTTCTAATATGCATCCAGTGGTCATCATTATAATTTGAGACGCTTTTTAATAGGTATATATAGGGGATATTGCTAAAAGAAATCAATTAGCATATATTTTAATATACTATATTTGATCTCACAGAGATAACTATACTTGGGGATGTAGGGTGCTGGGTCACACGCTGTGGTGCATAGTGCTTGCTCAGTAATTCCTGCACAGTGATCAGGAATTACTCCTGAGAGTGGTTGAGGGACCATATGCAATGCCAGGGATCAAACCAAGTTAGCTTCATGCAAGGCAACCACCTTAACCCCAATACTATCTCTCCAGTTCAATAATACACTTTCACCAAGTTACTACAGTTTTTTAACAGGAGTATCACTTTGTAAAGCTTCACTCTGTGTGTGTATTTGTATATGTGTGTGTGTGTGTGTGTGTCTGTGTGTTTGTGTGTGAGAGAGAGATAAATAAGAGAGAGAGCACTTATCCCTAGTCCCTAGGAGGAATAAGCTGTCCTCATCGTAGAATGCTAACCTTATGTTTTTCACTGACTTAAAGCTTCTCCTAAACTCATTAGAGTTTTCAGAGTCTTTTACATTTTGCCCTACTTGGCTTGGGCACAAAGCCCAGATACTACATCATTTAAAAAAAAATTCTAAGTGAGTCAAAAAATCTCCCCATATAATTACTTCACTTGTGCTGCTATTACAGTCTTCGCTGGCAACAGACAAATGAGACCCTTTCACTTGAATCCACTGAAAACTCATCCTTGGGCAGGAAACCCAGTATTATAGCTGATTGCAAGTCTGTGTACTTGTGTTTTTAAACATGTTGCCACCCCAAATAGGAGAGTGGAATCATTATCTGGAACCATTAACAGACTATTCAAGTAAATATTGACAAGGAAAAAAACCCTCAGGCTCAAAGCCCTGGTTGTTTCTCCTTGAACATCCTTTACCCGCCCATGGTTTCTGGTGGATTTCCTTCCTCTTGGTCTGTCTTTGCACAGAACTTGAGAGGCTTCTTCTTGTTTCCCAAATCGGACAGCAGTAAGTCTCCTGACAGGGCAGGATCTCACAGAAAGTGATTTCTGGTACTTGGAAGGATGGTGTGGTGGCCAGAGATGTATGGGGTCCTGCAAAAGGGGAGGGAGTTCAAAGGTGAAGGCTGGTTTCTAGGGTGGACAATTTCACATGAAATCCAGACTGTGAAGCTCTTACCTGAGGGGGAGGCTGTGGGGAGCATAGTTGGTTTCTGAGAGCTTGTGATATTGCTGCAGGAAAAGGAAATGGTTAGTGATGGTATTCTTTCAAAACTCCTCCCCAGAGAAAATAAGACTAGAGCTCTCACCTGGAAGGGAGATTTGGGATATGTTGGTCTTGATCTTTTAAACTAAGTATGTAAAGGGAGACAATTGTCAAGGCACTGTTGAAAAAAAGAAGAAGAAACCATTATGTGGCAGATTTGAGTCCAGATATATCTCACACAGCCAGCTGGCCAGAGATGTGCTCTCGCAGGCCACACAGATGGGAGGAGAGGGGAGGGGGCCGCCAGGCTGTCAAAAGCACCATGGAAACCAGCTTGGTTTTGCTTCTCTGCCCTGAGGAGAAAAGAAAAAAAGAAAAAAAACCCAAAAACCAAAAGACAAAAAAAAAAATCCCTCTTCCTGGACCTCAGGGGCTCTGGGGGCACTCCACACTGATGAATTTTTCCACAGGGCAAACCTCTGGTCTGACAAGCTACCTCAGACGCAACTGTCTGTCATGAGTGGAAGATTACCAGAGGAAGCGTATAAGGCAGCCCTCTGCTCCTTGCAGGGAAAAAAAAACAGAACAAAGTTCACATCCCACTGGTGAGGGGGCATCACCCTGTTGCATCGGGAGATGAAAGATGGCACAGGTTTCATCCAACCCTTTGGCTATGTCTCTGCCATCTTCCAGCTGCCTGACTTGTCAGAACACCATACACAAACTGGACAAAGGAAGGAAAAGAAACTCAATAAAACATCCATTTCCATGCTACATGACTGCCAATGAACAAGGCTATCTTTGTCTCAATAATCAGAGTGTCTCTCTATAAATGGAAACCTTCCTTCAAGGCCTGAGCTTTGGGAAACTATTCCCAACTTTTTTTTTTTTTTTGCACAAACCAACACTTACTTAACTTTCTCCTCTGGAGGGAGGTGTCTTTACAAGTGTCTCAAAAAGTCACACAAGAAAGTGTTTGGGTGACTTTACATTCCACTGTGCTGGGCCTGACATGAGGTGATGAACTTTTATTTCCTACCACGTTGACTTCACACTGGTTTCCTAGATGCCACTGCTCATTATTTCACTTTCCATCAAGGGTGCGTGTTTTCCACGAGTAGATATTATACAAAGAAATGTTTCATGTGTTTGAATTCCACTCATCAGGAATTCCCAGCATGAACACACCAGAATCTGGTTGCCATGTCACTGAAGGCACATTTAGGCCAGGCAGAAGTGGTGCTGACACTTTACTTTAGTCAGGTAGAAGGACTTGTTTTACCTTAGATACTGCTTGCTGTGGTTTTGCTTCTTTTATTCTGTTCTTTCAACAACCCCCTCCCCCAACTCCAGTCTCTCTCTCTCTATTCCTAATCATCTATTACTCTTTCTTTGTCTCCTGTGTTTGCTTCAAGGTATGCACTGTAGCACTGTCCTCCCGTTGTTCATCGATTTGCTCGAGCGGGCCCAGTAACGTCTCCATTGTGAGACATGTTGTTACTGTGTTTGGCATATACTATACGTCACGGGTAGCCTGCCAGGCTTTGCCATGCGTTCGAGATACTCTTGGTAGCTTTCCAGGCTCTCTGAGAGGGATGGAGGAATCAAACTCGGGTCAGCCTGTTTAGCCGCGTGCAAAGCAAATGCCCTACCCACTGTGCTATTGCTCCAGCCCAGAGAATTCCTAGGATTGAGACAGAAATGGACATCTATCCTATTTTTCCCCGCCTTTGAAGGTAAACTCTAGTTTTGATCCTTTTTGTATATACCCTGCAGGGCCCAGAAATAAGATAATAACCTTAATATTATTATTCAGTTATGGTCTCATTGGCCAACAATATTGGAATTCATAAGGTCTGATAAAAATCACTTAAAAATCATTCTCTAGAGCTGGGGAGGTAGTTGGAAGGGCTAGAGCAGGTGTTCTCAAACCCATGGTCAAGGTACTGCTGGCACCCCTTCCCCCGAAAGTCTCCTGGGCATGGCCTTCTTGGTCCCTAGCACTACCGGACCTGAGGAGTAATCTGTGGTCTGGCCTTACCCCTGAATCAACAGGTCCACAGAGCCTGGCAGAGTATTACTCTATCTCAAACACAGCTAGAGAGCATCATCCCCTAAAATCTCGCCAGAACTGCACCTTCTACAATCTTCACTAGGATTGATGTGGACCTATGTCTAAAGTCTCCTTCTTATGGAGACTTTAAGCAACACTGAGTGTGTCTGCTAAATCGTAGATGTTCCCCCAGTACCAGACTTAGGGATTCTACCAGATGATGCGTTCATTCAAGTTTCAAATGGGAATTCTGGGCACTGGGGTCACATGCTAGGGACGCAGCCCACAGTGGACACTAGAGAGGGACAAGTCAAAGGACTAAAGGAGAGAAGCTACTGAGAGACCCACACTGTTTTCTTACCTAGAAAGCTACTTTGGGTCAAGAAACTGGACAAACCTTAAGCACACTTCCTTAGACTTTGAGAAGAATTGTCTTCCCCAAGACAAGGCCCAAAGGCCTGACCTTTCCTATGGGAACAAAGCATATTGGGAAGAGGCATCAGCAGCCTTTCCAGCATATGAATGGTCAGACTGAAAACTAGAAGACCTAAAGAACAGAGTATGATGACCAGGACTCAACGACTCAGGGACCTCTTGGACCAGGATCCTGAGAAAAATTCCTCCACCACAAGAAGGTGTGGAGAGGGTGTGCGAGTGGTGGTCAAGACACCCACAATTGCTTACATAGTGAACACATAGGTCCTAACCATGTTTGCTTTCTTCGTAAATGTGTCTACCATGCCAACATCTCCAAGTCGCTCTGTTGTGAGGTCTTCACTGAAAAATCCAGAAAAATCCTAATAAATATGAGCATCCAAGGGAAAGTGGGTTGTACCTGACTGCCCATTTTTTTTGTTTCCCAAAAATAGACCGGAAGAAGAACAAAGAATTTGAGAACATTTTTAAAAGATTAAAAGACACACACGTGAGAGGCATGGCGAGCTGTTAAAAAACATTAGTTATTGAAAAAAAATCTTTCATCATACATTAAGTGCAGAAAGTCAGTGTTTCCTTTCTTTTAAAAAGACCTCCCTCATCGTGAAGCTAAATTGAAGGTCAGTGCCCAGTTTAAAAGGCTCCTTGTCTTCAAAATAGACAGAAGGTCAGTTCATCAGTGAGGAAAGAAAGATGAGAGGCAGAAAAGAGTTTGACATAACATAAAATAGAAGATTTTCTTACCAAAATGCCATCACAGCAATTAGAGTTATAACCAAGGTCTGGAAAACCCAGTTAGGACACCACTGTTTTTTTCCTGAAAAATAAGCCTATAAAAAGATTCAGTAATGAGCAGTGATAAATCATCAACACTGAGGAAGGGCACCTGGGGACTAGCTCCCAGGAGGGGTATTCCTTGCTCCTTAGTACTCCTCCTACAAACCTCCATCTGTCATTATGCTTCCCTGAAAAGTTCTCCCCAAATCCTCAAGTCCCTCTCTTCCCTTGATGCTCAAGGCTGCCATCATCCTTTTTCCCCTAACATCCAGCAAGACCATCGTCTGTGACATTCCCTTAGCCCTTATATTTGAACTTTGATCATAAAAGGGGACCAGCCAGGCACTATATTGAACCCAGATGGTCATCTTTTTTTAACAGAACACTTTTTGAAAATCAAAACTTCTCCAGGACATAATAGAGCAAATCCCAAAGACTGAATTGCAGACATGACAAAGAGAGTTTTGTGGCATGAAATCCTACTGCATGAGTACTCCTCAAGTCGCACACAGTGGTCCTTAAGCCTTCAGAACAGTTCTGGGGCTGTGTTTATTTATTCTTAGATACCTCTAACAGCTATTCATTAAGCACAACTGTGTACAACACTATAGGGAGTATGAAAATAAGTAAATCGTAGACTCTAGGAAGTGACTAGAAAGCCTTTAGGACTGATGCATATAGGCATAAAAACCTGTATAAGAGGAATAAGCCTCAAACTTGAGTACAGCAGCTATGTAATTGGTGGGCAAGGCACTTGCAGAGACCTTCTGCCTACTCAATTAAGGTGTCCCTAAATAAGTGCCTTCTTTCATGCAGTAGGGAGAAATGATTGCATCGTTCTGAGGGCACAAGGTAAAACCATGCTGTTGGTTAGAAGAGAACTGGAGGAGGATAATAAGCTATTTTTAGAAATAGCTTAAGGGGCTGGAGCTATAGTATAGCAGGAAGGATGCTTGCCTAGCACAAGGCCAACCAGCATTTGATTCCTGGCATCCCAAACGATCCAGAGGACCATCAGGAGTAATTCCTGGGTGCAGAGCTAAGTGTAACCCCTGAGCATTGCCAGGTGTGGCCCAAAGCTCGCCCCCTCAAAGAAGAAATAATGCTTAAAACTGGTCTTTGTTTGAGTTTCTCCTGCTGGTAATCTGAATTTAGGAAACATTCTTCCTACATTCAGAGAGATAGTATAGCAAGTAAGGCCCTTGGCTTGTGTGTGGCTAATCCCCATAACCACATATAGTCCTCTGAGCACCACCAGAAGTGATCTCTGAGTGCAGAGCTAGGAGTAAACTCTAAGCACCACCAAAGGTGCCCCCGACCTACGAAAGAAAGAAAGAAAGAAAGAAAGAAAGAAAGAAAGAAAGAAAGAAAGAAAGAAAATATTCTGCTATGTAATATAGGGATAAATTGTAAGTACCTCTTCTATTTTATCTTACTTTGGGTTGTGGGGCTACACCTGAAGGTTCTCATGGGCTACTCCTGGCTCAGCACTCAGGATTCACTCCTAGTGGTGCTAGGAAGACTATGCACTGCCAGGGATGGAACCTGAGCCTCTGGCATCCAAAGCATGTGCTTCAGTCCAGGAAGCTCTCCAGCCCTTGGATTACCCTTTTTAATAAATTCCCAAGCCTTGGGGGCATTGTAACTTTGGAAGGCAGTAAATATTCCAAAGTGGATGGTTTCTACCATTCCCACATTTCTCTGGAACTGTTCTGAAGATGTTGTAATAGTTAGCACTCTGTACAGAAAAGGAACTCGGTGACATTTGTTGACGCAAGTAGAATTTACTAGTATTTATTAGAGTCAAGACAAGCATTTCCCCTTCAATCTACTTCCTACTACAGCCAGATGATTGTATATCTCTGCGAATCTGCTCCATACTCTTGACTCAGTGTTGGGATATAACCAAAGTCCCGAAAGCAGATTTTCAACTGATTCCTGAACATATTATCCGTGTGTTATTGAGCCCCATTTTCCTCATCATTAAAATAAGAATGATGAAAATAATACTTGCCCACTTTTCAGAGTAAATTTAATGAACAGATTAATGATTCTCTCAAAAGAAGGTCTAAAAGAATTTCTATGGAATCTGCTAAAAATCTAAATACTCCAGAAATCGCTGTCTCAGGGCCAGAGAAATAGTGAAGCACATAAGGCATTTGGCATGTATCTGACCCAGGTTTGATTCCATGTACCATATGTGTTCCCAGAAGCAGCACCCGGAGTGATCCCTGAGCACAGAGCCAGGAATAAGCCCTAAGCCTACCAGGTATGGCCCCAAAATAAAACAAGACTAAACCAAAAAAGAATCTGGGAACAAAAAGATTTTCATTTGAGGTGGTATAAAGGTAAAGGTAAAGACCCTCCCGTTGATCATCGATTTGCTCGAGCGGGCCCAGTAACGTCTCCATTGGAGACTTTGTTGTTACTGTGTCTGGTATATCGAATACTCTCATAGCTTGCCGGGCTCTCCGAGTGGGGCGGAGGAATCGAACTCGGGTTGGCCATGTTGGCCGCTTGTAAGGCGGACGCCCTACCCGCTGTGCTATCGCTCCAGCCCAGGGGCTGGAATCTGTAAAAGGTAAGGTAATGAAAAGTATTGTGTGAGTTCCAGTGTGTGTGTGTGTGTGTGTGTGTGTGTGTGTGTGTGTGTGGTGGGGGGGGGTGCCCCACCTGCACTCAGGAGACCCAGGGCCCCATCTGGTATTCTCAGCAATGGGTAGTAGTTCATAGCAAAGGCCTGAGGGTAAGTGCTGCTTGGGGCTTATGCTGCTGATGCTGTGGACCTCATCAGCTGCACCTAAAGGTGCTTAGGAGACTCTGCAGTGTGGGGGAATCAAACCGGTCAGTGTGGACATGGAAGGCACACACTGAACTCTGACCCAGTATCTGTTTTTCCCCCTTCCTCTTGCTCTTCACTCTCAGGAAATTCTCTCTTGAGCCCTAGGACCTTCCTACCTCATCCCAATCATAAATATACAGCCAGAATCACCCACCTACTTCTTAGAGGGAGAGGGGGAGAGAAGGAGGAGGAAGAGACATCCTACAGATCGTATGGCTGGTAGTTTAGGAAACCTCATTTTTTTCTTTTGTTTTCATCTAAAAATGCGCCTGTTAGCTAGCACAAGCAGCTATGTGGAAACTGAGGCAAGGACTTCTCCAAGAGTCTTACTACACAGTAGGTCCCACCAACTGCTCCCAGTCATCTCCACCCATGAACGCCCCTACAAAACTGAAAGAACCAAATCCATCCACAATTGGATCTGATGGCCCATAAACCTTAGGATTCCTAGTGTGTTGGTGGCATGTAAGGAAAGTCAGTAACAGAGATATAGCTGACATCTCCAACAAAGACACACTTTCTCACATAGACAACTTAATATCATAACCACCGAAATGAGGGGTTTGAAAAAAAACAGTAATGGTGAACACTTAAATAACACTATCCAGCTTAACCTTCACTGTCTTATTTAATCCTTAAAATAATCCCCAACAATCTATGAAGGTAGATACTGTAATGACCCCATTTTTAAAGATGGGGAAAATTGAGCCCTAGGAAAATTAAGTTCCATACCCAGTATTACATAGCTAATAAGCCACAGAGCTGGAATTTGAAACAAAAAGCATATTACTCTGAAAACTGTGTTTTTAAGCATAAAAGTATGATGCCTCCTTTTTCTTGTCTATATATAAAATAGGAAACAATACAATATAAATATTACTGCTATTATTCTAAAGATCTGCTTGGATTTTTGAATAAATTTCTTAACCTGGTGATTCAGAAACTGAGTCTAACCTGTGTTTTCAGCCTTTATCTTCCGCTCTTCTCTCTAACCAAACCCATCAAGCCATGGTCAGTTTCCGCCTCTTGTTTATGCGGTTTCAACTGAAACCTATTCTAACAGCTCCTGTAACTATCCCTCTCCTTGGAGGCCTGAGTTCCATAATACTCCTACAGAACTCTGAGTATTAATAATTTTTTAATATTCAATTACAAATGACCTTTGTTTTTCCCGGTGATCTTCCTTGTCTTGTTTGAAATTCCTTGTCAAGAGAGGCCTTGTCCTCCTAACTTAACCTGCATCCCATAGGACTATAAACAGTCACCTACTTGGATACGTGCTCTATGCACTTGCATCAGACCCCGCCCCTGTGTCCACATTCCCATCCACGCCTATCCCCAAGAGCCTGAATCACTCCATGTGCTTCATCTATTCTGGGGGCTTTCAGGGAATACTTTCAGGTGAGGCTCCCTGTTTGAGAATTTATTTGACAAATATGTCTCAAGGATAAATATGTACCAGATCCTGGACACACAGAAAGAGGAAGGCAGAAATGCTTGTTTCTACAACCCATGAATTCTAGTTACTGTTCAAATGTCACTGCAAAATAAAGACTGAGTGCAATATGAAAGGTACAGTGGTTTGCAGCTCTGGCAGTGACCAAGCGATGTGCATGTCACTTGCTCTATCCCACAGCAACCTAGTCAGAGAAATGGGCCCCTTCTCTACACTGTCACTGTCACTGTCCTCCTGTTGTTCATCAATTTGCTTGAGCGAGCTCAGTAACATCTCCATTGTGAGACTTGTTGTTACTGTGTTTGGCATATCGAATACATCACGAGTAGCTTGCCAGGCTTTGACATATGGGCAAAATACTCTCGGTAGCTTGCCAGGCTTTCCAAGAGGGGCAGAGGAATTGAACCCGGGTCGGTCATGCCGGCCGCACACAAGGTAAATGCCCTACCGCTGTGCTATAACTCCAGCCAAATATTTGTTAATGTTTTAAGTTTATAAAGCAATCAGCTAGGTCCTGGGTACCGTGTTAAAAACTTTGGTTCATTTGATCAGTTAACAATCTCCTATTATCTCTATGTTTTAAGTAACCTGCCCAAGAATACTTCTACATGTATATTTATCCGTGTATTTATACCTATTGCCATAGATATAAGCTTATCATCTATACAACACTTGACTAGGTATTAGTAGAATATTAAAATATTTCTGAATTTTTTAAAGCATAGACCAATTCAGTATAACATGAAAAAAAAAAAAACAAGCTAGATCAGTGGCCCAAATATTGAAGCAATGCTTAAGCAAATCTCTGTGAAAGTCATGAATGCCTTAGCCTGGGAAGAAGCATCTTGAGGATGTCAGAGGATCAGAGAAAGCAAGGTGAATCACACAGTTACCAAAGAATGGCAGAGGGAGGAGGGACGAAGTACTGGCACTTCACTACACTGGAGGGAGGATACTTTAGCTCATGAGTGATCGACCCCTTTTTACTGTGAATGTCATCCTATTAATGAAATTTCTCTTTATCCACTAATAAATGCATCATGTTTCAATCCTGGGAGATAAGTGAATACCTATGCTCTATATTTACATATACAGCACAAAATATCAAAGGTAAAGGAGGGATTTGGGGATTAACTAAAGTCCCCAGGGATCTTCTGAAGCCAAAGATAAGGGAGTAAGTTGAGACAAGTCACTGACATATCTTGCCGCTCAGGGCCATCTACATGTGATGACTGGTGAATTTCACCAGATGGAAACAGTGCTAAAATAAATGCAGCAGAATAATTTATCTCAAATGAATATGCTCTGTATCTATTTCTCTAAACTTCTTTTTTGAAAAATCAGGGTAGTATTTAAACACCTGAAATACATAGGGATGCCTGTTTAGTACACCATCAATAAGCAAATGAGGCAAACCATCTTGACCAATTCTCAAAAGAGGTTTTTGGGGTATCATTAATATCATTTCTGTTCATTATAAATTGAAGTCTACTTACCTTGTTGGTTTTGGAGGGAATGGCCTTTCTTGGAGAAGATGTACTAACAGTTCTGCTAGATTTACTTGAAAAGAGAGAGAAAATAATTACTATTCAAATGCTTCTCCAGCTCTTAGAAGACAAAAGTCAGAAACACAACAATATTACTGTTTTTATAACATGATTCCTTTGCCCCTCTCGGGGAGCCTGGAAAGCTACCAAGGTATCTCACCCACATGGCAAAGCCTGGCAAGCTACCCGTGATGTATTCAATATGCCAATCATAGTAACAAGTCTCAAAATGGAGACGTTACTGGGCCCGCTCGAGCAAATCGATGAACAACAAAAGGACAGTGGACAGTGGACAGTGGATGGTAATTTTAAAAAAGGAAAAGCCAAGGCACATAAGAGGGTTTTTTTGTGGAAAATAACCTTAGGAAGAGTAAATGAATGCATTAAATGTTACATTTCTCTTTTTGTCAAAATTAGACCCCTGAAAATTTACCTGCTTCAGTAATAATAAAAATTAAAATTTGAAGTAATTCCTGAGAACCAAAATTGCTTTTCTAATTTTAGAAACAGCCACCTCTCCCAGTTAAAGAAGTCACCTTTTGCTAAAATTCAACACTTCCTATCACAACTGCTCTTGAAAACCAGCTGCTTCATTCTTAAAGCAGAAAATGAAAAAAAAATGTGAAAATTATTACAGGCGGCAACTTTGTTCCAAAAACCTCTTGAAACATAATAAGGGGACCAGAGTGATAACACAGAAGGTAGGGCACTTGTCCTGCACTTGACCAACCCAGGTTGGATCCCTGGGCACCCAGGGGACCATGTGGTAATGATCCTTGAGCACAGAGGCAGGAATAACCTCTGTGCACCACTGGACATGGCCCAAAAACCAATAAAATAAAATAAGGGACTTTATTATCAGAAAATAACGGTTGCCGCCTGATCAAAAAGAACATTTCAGGGTGGAGAGATATTACAGTAGGTAAGGCATTTGCCTTGCTGCAGTAACACTGGTTCGGTCCCTGGCACTGCTGTGCTGATGATCACCCCCACCCCAGACCCACCAGGAGTGATCCCTGGGCACACAGCCAGGAGTAAGCCCTGACTACAGCTGGATGTGGCAAGGGAAAAAAAAAAGACCATTCAATGAACCACATCATGGAAAGAACACACACACACACACACACACACACACACACACACACACACACACACACACCATCAAAGCCTCTCCTTTCTGTAGAAGTCCCTGGCCGTCCTGTCCCAGAGGTACCTGATAGAACTCGCCTCGCTGGCTGACGACTTCCAGCTACTGAGCCGTTTTAGCCTGGCCAGCTTCCGGTTCCAGATTTCTAACTCTTCTATTCTTTCTTCAAGGTTATTGGTCAGTTTGCAGAGCTGCTTAACTGCACCCACATTTTCCATAAAGATCTGGTCCTAAACAGAAAAAGAGTAAATAATACAGCACTGACATATTTGCAATCATGAGAGCACAATCCACAGCCCTTTCAAAATCATCTGGAACGCACCATTGGAAAGGTTCTTACACCCACACATCCTCATGTTCAATTCCCGTAGAGCCAGCAGGGTTTGCAACCAAAAGTGGTCCTGCTAAACTACTGGCTGTGAAATAAAACTCCTTCTGTTCAATTTGCAATAAAATGGAAATATGACCTGGTAGTTAAGAGAGAGAACAGAGCTATAAGACACTGTCAAGTTTGGAAGCCAAAGATTCATTTGCAATGGTCATTATGTTATATTCAGAGGTCAGTTTGTAAAAAATCAGAACCAGCTTCTAAACGTTGATTTGTGTGTGCATCATTAAATCCTGATGAGAAATGACTCCAATTCTCTCTGCAAAAGGTGCAGCAACATTGTTCAGATGAGGAAAGGATGAGAGAACACTTGGGCTTTTGTTCTGCCACCTCTATATGTGAGACCCCCAGTGAAAAAAAGATTTCTGAGCTTCAGTTTCTTCACCTGTCAATGAGAACATTCAGTGCTAATTCCCGTTTTAACACCCCGGGTACACTATAATTTAGCCTAACTCCCAGATTTTCATCTTATTATTTTAATTTTAAATTTCCCTCCCATCCTTTTAAATTTTTAATATGTTTTTGAATTAGGGGCAACTCCTGGTGATGCTCAGCACAGCTGGGCTGGGTGGTGCTCAGGGCTCACCAGGGTCACAACTGGCAGTACTCAGGGTGCATGTGGTATCATGGACTGAACTCAGGGCATGCACAGGCCAGTCATGTGCCCTGCCGTTTGAGCTCTCTCATCCCTCCCTTCCCGTTTTGTTGTTGATAAACAGGGCTCATGCACACTTGACTGCAGTACTCAGACATTTTACTGTATGCAGTGCTCATTATACACTTCACTATAGTGCACAGAGACCACACACTTTGTTGTGTGCTGCAGACCCCAAACAGCAGCGCTGCCACTATCACATGTGGCATGTCCTGAGTGTGGGATGGTGCTGAGGAGAAAACTTGCAGCTTCACTCTTGCCAAACAGGTGTCTTACCCGAATGCAATGACCCCAACCCCAAGCAATATTATAAAACATCAACACAGTTTCTCCTGTTCAGGATGTGACTGATCTTCCAAAAAGAATAAGAAAAGAGACCAACCAAGGACAGTGCAGTCTGGGCCACTGTTCCTCCTCGTGTACACTGGCATTGTCACTGATACGTGTGTCTCTCCATAATAAAAACCCTGAAAGTGCTCATCAACTTGAGCCCTGGTTCTATGCCCTCTGACTGTACCTCCACTGGATAAAAAGACAAACTCCGTTGCAAGGAGAAACAGCTCCATGGGAAGGGGGTATCTCGCCAAGCAAAATCAAGTTTTAAAGGGAGCTCAGGAAAATAGGATTCAAAAGTTGAATGTTACAAACATCAGACTTAGTTTATGCAGTTTAAAGACAGAAGTGTATAGGAGCATCAGAAGACTGTTGAGTTCTCTGAGCAGCATCAGGAACCCCTGGACACCAGCATTCAACTGGGTAAGAGACTTTACTCCAAGAGAGAATCCTTATTTCTCAGAGAGAGATGCTTGTCCTTCCTCCAGGTCATCCAAATCCCAGAGCACCCTGAACAGACAGGACTCTGCCTTTCACGGGGCTCCCCAACTATGTCCACATTCACACAACAGTATGCACAGGGGCCCTGGGTTCAACACCTACCCCAGACCTGAACCAGCCCCAAAGGCCCAAGGATCTAATGGATTTTGTCATTACTGAAGGGCTCACACCACCATAAATGTTCATTCAGAATGGATCAAGGCTTAAATGTAAAAGCTAAAACCATAAAATGCTTAGAAGAAAACACAGAGGGACTTCTCCTTGACATTGGCCTAGGCAATGGTTTTGTTTTTCTTTTTTTAGGGTGGAGAGGATAGGGGAATGTCTCCTCAGCATTGCTCGACTGGAAGTACAGACATGATTTCTTGTGTTTGGTCCTGGACATGAAGTGAAGGCCAGGTCCAGTGGTGCTCAGGACTTCCAAACCCACCCCGTGGACCTTGTGTGTGCAAGGAATGTGTCCAATTGAGCTATCTCCCCAGTCTTTCGCCTTCATCTTGTCTTGTTTTTTTAATGTGATACTAAAAGAATACAGGACAAAGATAAAGTAATCAAGTAGGACTGCATCAAAATAAAAAGTTTCTGCAGGTCTAGAAAGGTACCATAGAGAAATGCTCTGCTCCTATTCCCATACCACATGGCTCATCAAGCATCTCTAGATGGTCCCCAGCACTCAGAACCGGATCAGTTTAATATCCTCAAGTCCTTGCAGTAAACCATGCAGCCTGGTAGGCTGAGTATCCCCTGAGTATCGCTTGGGACGTCTCGCCTCAAAAAGTTTCTGCACAATAAAAGTATCAATACACAAAATTTAAAAGCAACCCAGACAATGCTGAAGACTATTTGCCAACGCTGGATCTCATCTAGGGTCAATATTCAAATACATAAGGAGTTCATATTGCTCAATAGCAAAAGTAAATAAATAAAACTAATGAACTTCTCAAAGAATGGGTAGAAGGTTTTTCAAGAATGCTTACAACCAGCAAGTATGTACATGGAAATATGCTCAACATCACTAGCAGTCAGGGAAATGCAAATCCAAAGCACAATTGCGATATCATGTCACACGTGGTAGTGGGGTTATTATCAGAGATGAGAGATAACAAGTACAGTGAAGGTATGGGGAGAAAGGAATTCTTGTGTGTTGTTGGTAGAAATGCAAATTTGTACAACCACTATGAAAAGAGTAGGAAAACTAAAATTAAAATTAGAAATACAATACAACCAGCAGTTCCACTCTGGGTACATATCTGAAGGAAATGAACTCACTCTCTCAAAGATGTGTCTGAACCTGTATTCCCTACATCATTAGTCACAGCAGATAAGACACAGAACAACCTAAGTTGTTCACAAACAGGTGAATGAATAAAGATGTGATATAGATCCAAAATTATACAAGCATATAATTTATATAATGAATCTATTTGGCCACAATAAAGAAGGAAATTCTCTGTCATTTATGACAACCTGAAAGGCCTTGAGGGCATTCTGTTAAATAAAATACATCAGGCAGAGAAAAACAAATACTGTATTATATCATTTATATGTATAACCTACAAAAGTTGAATTCACAGAAATAATGGAAATGGCAACTGCCAGGGGCCAGGAGGTGGGGGAAATAGCAAGATAATGTCACAGGGCTGAAAACTCAGTTATACTCTGAATAAATTCTGAACTTCTTATGTATAGCACCAGTAACTAAAATTACAATACTTTCCCTCTGCATTGAAGTTGCTGAGAGATCTTAAATAGTCTCATCACAAAACAAAAGATAATTATGTGAAGACATGAATGTACTAACTTACCTCACTGTAACAGCAAGCGTTTCACAATATATATGCTATCTAATCATCATATAAATGCCTTAAACTTACACAGTGTTTTATGTAAATTATTTTAATAAAGCTGAAGAGTTTTATTAAAATAATTAAATATTGAACTCACAGATGCTCCTCCCAGAAGGGAGTATAAAAAGAGGCCCCCAGAACCATGCCACCTGACTCCGTGCCAGGCTGTGGGGTGGGTGAGAGCCTCCACACCCCAAGAGATCCAGCCCTAGCAAGCCGACCTCTACTTCCTAACCACCGCCATGCTCCAGGCTGCTTATAAGACATTTCCCATCCATTTATGCCTCTCAGAGAGCCCGGCAAGCTACCAAGAGTATCCCGCCCACACGGGCTGAGCCTGGCAAGCTCCCTGTGGCGTACTTGATATGCCAAATACAGTAACGACAGTAGGTCTCATTCTTCTGACCCTGAAAGAGCCTCCAATCATTGGGAGAACACGAGTAAGGAGCGGCTACTAAAATCTCAGGGCTGGGAGAAATAGAGATGTTACTGGCACCCGCTCGAGTAAATTGAAGATCAACGGGATGACAGTGATACAGTGATACAGTGAAAACTGAAGACTAATTCACTAATTTGGTGAGCGAGGGCAGCTGTAGGAGATTTAAATAAAAACAGTACGAAGAAGGGGTCAAGAGCAATTTCTTAGCAACACCAGGATGCTGGTTTGATTCCCTTCACCACATGGTCTCCCTGAACTCTGCCAGATGTAGTCCTAGAGCCCCGAACATCATCTGTGTGGCCCTGGTAATCCTCAGCAGCAATGAGTCAAGCTTTGGACCATTCAGCGTGGCTAGCCAAGTATCACCAGAAGTAGACCCCCCAACCCTGAGTATTGTGAGATCACCCCAAATAAAAGCAAAACCCAAAATGAGTTGAATATGACAAGAGAATAATAGAATTGCATGAATATTCATTAGTTTTACTATTATTCTAATTTTTGCTTTTTTAAAATTAAAACATTTTTATAAGTCCTACAAATAAATCACCAATGGGGAAAAAAAATCTAAAAACAGTCTCCAAGCAAAATTCCTTGCAGATTTTCTAATTCTAGTACAGGTTTTCCTTTACTTCTAAATCAGTGTAAACCAGAAAAAGACATAAGTCGAGAAGATAAGAATAACACTAATATTCTTCAGTAGTGAATGCTTTGGATTACTTACCAGGTTTTCGTTGTAGAGCGTACTATTCTATGGGGGATAGTAGAGCACACTAGTCTGTATTGGGGATGGGAGACAGTATAGGGATTAAGGATCTTGCCTTGCACAGAGGCAACCCCAGTTTGATCTCCAGCACCACATGTACCCCTGAGCACTGCTAGGACTGATCCTTGAGCACAGAAAAAGGAGTAAGCCCTGAGCACCGGGTATGACTCCAAATCCCAAACAAACAAACAGACTATATTTTACACTGTCAGCTGATGTCCACAATAGCTCCCAGCCATCACCTCTAATTCCTTCCAATCCATGCTCAGTGCCAAACAATCCATTACATTGGGCACTCAGTTCA